GTGTGTGTGTGTGCCTGGATGCATATTCCTATCTGTAGCACAACAGCAGTTGAAGAGGAAAAATACCATACATTTAGAACAGTTCATTATCAAAATAGTATTAACAGAATGAGACTACTCAGATGTTACAGGTTGAGAAGCAGGAAAAAAGGCTATTACAAGGACGAAGACCTTGTAACTTTCTCCTATGCCCCCCACTTCCCACCCAGGCTGAGTTAGGGGACCTAGGTGAGCTTGGGCAGCCTGCAAAATTCCCACTGTGCCCTGCTAATACATCAGCAAACAAAACTGAAAACAGAACAACAAACCCCTACTGAAACTCGTAACACATTGTAACTTGCTACATATTTAACAGGTTTCCCTACAGATACCAACTGGGCCTGAGCATAAACAGAGTCATGCAGGGTACAGTCACACGGTCTTTTACAAGGTGGAGTGTTTTCCAGTGGGTTAAGAGCTAACTTCACCTTGCTAGTACTACCGTGATAGTGAATATTCCCGCCTGTTCTCATTTGTATGGCACTGCACTCTGAAGATTTTCGGAATGTTTGTAAGTGCTGGTGGAGACAGACCCCACTGTCCCCAGAGGAGGTGCCAATCCTGACTGAAGAGCCAGCACAGCTTTATGTACACCAATGACAGATGCTTATATTTCACAAGTATTTATCAGAAAGTGTGTGACCCTCAGGGCTGTCCCTACACTTAACAGGACACACCACGGCACCCACCCCACTCAGATGGTGCTGATGTGGAAGCTGCGGGGTCTTACCAAGGCTCCCATCTGATCAACCCGCCTGTGTTTCTTTGCAGGGAGGGGGCTGGTGTGCACCCAGACTATGCCCCAGGACCCATACAAGGGAGCTTGGTCTGGTGGTACAGCTGCAACCTCCAGCAGCTACACACATGAAGGGAGAAGACATGTATCTCCAGAGTCAAGGAGCATGTATGTGATCAAGCTTATGCAGCTGAACTAGTGACAACGCATCAACAGCAGTGCAACTACTATCTGTGTTAGCACTGCTAACTTGCAGCTAATGGAAGACACCACGTGCTAGCTTATGAACACGATGAAAGTTTGTATTAATACATTTACAAAGCATTTTGTCACTTGAAGAGCGCACGTATGGTTAGCTACCTTAGCTCAGCCATCTGCTAAGCTTTGGTAGCCCCGTGATGTTCCCGGTATCATGGCTTACCACCGCTGCTAAGGACAGCTGACCAAGACCATAAGGTACTCTTGCTCAGGCTGAGACCTGAGGAGTCGTGCGATTTCAGTTCAGGATAGAGAAAACCACAAGCCCATAACCAAAGGCTGAAGTTTATATTTGCAAACTACACGTGCCTGGGCTCATGCCCTGGCAACAATCCAGCTGGCAAGGAATGGCCTTAATCCACACTATTAAACTGCCTCCCTCTCCAAAGTGGTCATGTCCAAATGGTCCGTCATGAATAATCCCTGGCCTGTGCTAACTCAGGATCCGTTCCAGAGAGTTGGTCTGGACCTAAGCTACATCAGAGACATTGGTGATAACCCGACAGCACAGATGATCGAGCCCCAGCACCAGAAGATGCTCTCTGACATGGTTCAATCTCTCCGTGTAGACATGGCCAAAGAGAGCAGAGCAGGAGGCCGAAGGGCAGATACACCTGCAGTCATGGCATTTATGCATCACAGAAAGTTACTCACACTCTGCAATATGCCCTAAGTGAGAGAAGAAATGAAGCTGTACTATCAGGAGTAAAGCAAGAGGGGAGAGGGACAGAAAACATCTCCTTTGTTTTCTTTTTCCTTCTGTGGTTGTGCTAGACCTGTGCTGCCTACTGCCTAACCTTGGGAATGCAAATGAAAAAGAGATTGCCCATGACTGATCAGGTCCATTCTTCAAACTTGTACAAAAAAGGTAATACTACATTTTGTGTTTTATTTTTCCTGCCCAAGCTACGTGAAATATTTCTGTAAGAATGAACTTGTGTATATACCATCTAGCAGCAGAGTTTTAACTAATGACAAAAAAACCCCCTAATATTTACCATTAATAACAGTGCTATACCATTAATTAACATTTACCCAAGTCTTCCCAAGGTACTCTCAGTCCTAATGACTGGGTTGCACTACTGTTAAAACTGGCATCAAGCTTCACCTGAGCTTCATCTAGATTAAGGTCAAATGACAGAAGACTCAACGTACCCCAAGTCAGGCAAGTCTATTTCTGCAAAGCTGATTTATACTTCTATTACCATTTGATCTTGTTTGCTTATAAAGCAGACAGTGGGGTTGCCTCTCTAAAATTACCTAGGAAGTTGTATGCTCCAGTTAACAAAGACAGATGAAGCTACTAGTATTATTTACAGACAGTGGTAAGGACTTATTTCACCTACTCGCCAACCCACACCGCAGTCAGTGGGATTTTATGTCCAAGCAGTTACGCACAAGATGACGTGCGCTGTTCAATGACAGCCAAATCAGTAAATCTCTCAAAATACAAAGGATATCTTTCCTTTTGTATACGACTTGCAACAAATTTGACTGTTGGCAGTGCTTAGCTCTGCAAGAGCACAGTAGCAGTCATTCTCCTCGTGGCACATTTTAAACCAGATTTTTCAGCTCACTATATTCTTTTCCCCCCCGCCCCATTTTCACAGCTGCACAATTATTTTGATACCAGAAAAAAAAAAACAAAACATGAAGGACTTGTTCTGACACGATGGGGTCCCTAATGGCTACAGTTTCCCAGGTCCTAAGGGAAGATGCCACTGTCTCTGAGCCCCTCTTTCCTGTTCTCCTGGGACAATTGAACACTTTGACATTTTCCTCAAGTTTTGCAAGGGAAATGAAATAAGCAGGCCTATGATCTACCCAATTTATTTTCCTACTTTGAGAAGTGTAAGAAGGATCTGTTGCTGCCTATTTAATCTTTTTCCTTTAGCCCAGAGAAAATGATCTTTCCGAGGGAAGAGCTATTGATTTACACTACTATTGCATTTTATTTTTCATGGTATGAAAAAACAGTTATAACCTACTATGCCTTACTCATCATTCCTGCAATTTTCTTCCTTGCTGAGACTTTAATAAGGCTAACGGTAATAAAATTGAAAACATCACTTAAAAATTAGTGCATTAGCCTAACTTCTATCACCATGAAAACCTTGGATTCTTTTGTCCTGAAACTTCACACCAGGGCAGCAGAAACTCCATGTCTGGCTGCCAAAATACACACCTAAATACTTCAGAAGCCAAGAGCTTTATATATGAAAATTGACATTTTAGTCATACAATTTTGTTTTCTGAAATTATTTCTGAATATTATCAAACCACACAGTTAAGTTAAGCTTGTTTTCATGACCTGACATAGTACTATTAGCACAGGACATGGCCTGAAGTGGCTTATTGTAAGAAAAGCAAAACACCTTACTTTTCCTCAACTCCCAACTGTGATGATACGAATGATGGAAGACCTCAGGGCCTTATTTTTAAAGGCATGAAGTCATTAAGTGCTGGGAAATGAAAAGCCTTTCAGAATGTGATCCAAATACAGGAATTCACCCGTCCACTCTGCTTCTCCTCTTCACTGGGGTGAGTGAGGATGTTCCCTGTATTGAGATCTGGGTGCTCTGGGTAAGGCACAGGTGACAGTTCTGTGATTGCTTAAAACTGTGTGCAAATAGATACTAATCCTCCTCCTCTAATACTGAGTTTTGAATCTGAGAAATCTTTTCACTGAAAACCTATTATTTCTTAATGCAATGAGAACAGGACAGGTTCCTGCAGTGGAAGTATCCGCTCCTCCCAGTTTCTTAGCTCTGCTCATGGCAGCACTTTGAAAGCATAACCTCCGTAACTTTGATGCTCACTTTTGCAGAGAGGTCATTTTAGATAACCTTTTAGCAAGACAAACACACCACACCATTCTAATTGTAAGTGATATGTGAATTATAAATTTGGCACAAAATTCTGTACTCTGTGAACAAAATTACATTAAGACAGATAAAAAGCCAGAAAAAGCAGAAAAGAAAACTGTAACTCCTGTGAGGGGGTGGTCTTCAAGGCAGTTCTTAGGTAAATATTTTTATCAAGTTTTTTCTTGAAAGTCTTCTGCGAGGTTTCTCAAAAAAAAAAACCAAACCCAAACAACCAACAACAAAAATCCCCCCCAAAACGCAAAAAACACCACAAAACCAAAATACCCAGCCCCCAAGAAACCATGAGAGCAAAAACTCAACACAGCAAGAAGGGATCATGCACAGCTCTCAAATATTTTTGCAGATTCTCCAGCTGCTAAAACCTATTGTTGTTTTTTTAAGGCCGTGACTGCTCCCACATTCCTCTCTCAGAATCTACTAAAGCTGTGCTGTTGGCAAGTATTGCTACATTACTTTTAAATGACATTTAGTCCTTTTACTCTGGGTACTCACGAACTGGGCTTCAAAATTAAAGGGAACTGCCCTCAGAGATTGCAAAAACAATGGAGACCAAAACCAAAAAAAGTTCAAACATTTGCATACTGTCTCAAGATAAATTCCAAAATCCAAAGGAATTTTATCACCAATTTGCTGTTCTCACCACATACTTAATAATGAATGATCCAACTTCCCAAATAGACTGCGGAAGATTTGTCCTTAATATCCACAGATTGTTTATTTTAATTCTGATCCAGATGTTAATATATGTGCATTGTTTTTTTCTGATATAATGATAGCCCAAGTAGTATTTTTTCCTCTTGGAACAGATACAATAATTTGAGAAAGATGGAGGGCTGGATCTTGACCACTTGCCTCCTAGGCGCGTTTGCTACTCCAGTATTACAGTCACGTTGTGACAACAACCATTAATTCAGTCCTCAGTTTTGTTAAGCTTGGCAGTGAATACACATCTTTGCAATGCAACATCAACCATACACATACAGAACTATGAAGTGAAAATTCCAAAGGAGAGAATGAAGATTTAGCTGGTGTGTACGCTAAACGCTCTGACCGGGGTTAATTTAGCAGACTGCTTGGGAATGCCTTGTCTGATCCACGAGGCAGTGCCATCGAGGCAGTGCGATCGGCTGGGGAAGAAGCCCTGGCACCGAGAGATGTCCTCTAGCAGCAAGGGACCCCTTCAGTGCAAGGACCCACCCAAACCCCACATCAGAGTCCCCTTCCACATAGTTCACCATGGCATCGAGTGCACACGGCCGGCCAAGCCCATGGTCAGGAAGCCAGAGAGTATCCACAGCACAGTGCCGCACAGACACCCAGGCATACGTAGGGGAGCGTTAGCAAAGAGTCGCCCGTCTTGGTCTCAGAGTTAACATACGGCATTTGACAGCTCTGTGCCGTTACTGCTTTCTGAAGATTTTCCTGCTTTCATGAACAGCAAAGGAAAAAGATTAGTACTGTAGATGAAAACTCGCCCTCCTGAGACCTGGAATACTACTTGGTGTGCCATGGCACGATGTGCTGGAGTTGGCAGCCACTCTGGGCCAAAGGGCAGGCTTTCTTTTCCAAAATCCTCCAATCTTATTAATCTTTCCATAGGAACAAAGCAGAGATAGCAACACTGTTCTGACTGCTAATGCTTCCTGTAAAAATAAGCTCCCAACGACTTCAGACAGAAGGCAAATCTGCCAGTCAGCAAAACATTTAAGTATATGCTTTGTTTAAGAAGTTTCGCTATGTGTTGTGCGCAATTGTCCTCTTGAATCAGAGATGTAGGCTGGGTTTTGTATGGACAAACTTGAGCTATTTAGCAACTCATCCCACCCATCCTGGCATCCTAGAAGGGAATGCTTTGACCTAAAGGGGTGCTTGCTCTTTCTATTGACTACAGCGAGGTACGAGACACTTGCTTTATATGTTTAACTGGTAGATGAGAAAGCTCATGCTCGAAAAATCCTACCCATAATGGCTTACCAGTAACTTAGCAAGACAGATCTGTCACCACTATATTCGTTACATGAACTCAAAGATTGTCAGCAAGACCCAGGCCAAGCACTATGTTACTTCAGAGTAATTCTACCTCTTAACACCAAGGTAAACAAAATACATCTTCGAGTTTCCTTTTCTAGTTACCCCCCACCCAATACATCCTGGTTTTATCAACTTCAGCTAGGAGGTAACATTTTTTCGTCTTTTTGACATACTCATTCACTTCAACATACCTGGTAGCAGGAAGAAAGAGATTCATTATTGAGTTACATCAGCATCAACCAGCTCCCGATGACATAAAACCAGAGCACTGCAAAGTGAAGCTGACCCACGGGGCCTCCAGACAGAGAAGATTCATTTCAAAGCAAGTTCAGAAATATCATCAACTATATGGAATACCTTCAGGTGCCAGTCCTGGTTTATCAGTCCAGAGAGTTGTTTTGAACATGGAAGTTTATGCAGTAAATTGAATTCTAGTTTTGCGGTATTGTACGACAAAGGAATTTGCCTAAAAATGGGAGATGTTCATACATTTGTATTCAGGCAACTCCACCGTCATAAAAGCCCATGATATCCTTTAAATGAAAGGGACAAAAACAGAAAACAAAAAATCTTGTCCAGTTTTAGGGAGTACTTTTTGCCTGTACCTAATCAGAAAGTTCAGAAGTGTTCAGTATTTGGAAAAGGTTATCTACGTAAGAGAAAACTTGATCATTACATTAGGAAAAGAGAATCACAGATTTTGGAAACTATGATATCTGCCTTTTTTCCTGCTTCAGTATTTTAGCTAATATAAAAATATTTCCCATTCCTCTAAGACCAGATGGCTTTAAGTTTTAACCTTGTGGACTGCAGCAGCAAAGTTGGAACAGAACTGGAAACACAGAGGTTTTCATTCTCACAAAATGGTAATGGTTTTAAAACTTAGTTTCAGTTCACATCAGATCCACAGCAAAACTTTCAAAAGGTGTTACAGCAGGAGGTTCTGGGTTGGAAAAAGACGGAAAAAAACCATTTACCAGAATGCCTCCGTCCGCCTTAGTTTCACTTAGCAAATTCAGGACTTCTCAAAATTTGTGACTTTGGGCCAGTGTCTCCATGTAGGCAACTCTAGACCAGAAACTTCAGGGCTTCCAGACTCTTGACTCACCTAAAAGACATCCTAGTAGTCCCTGTGGTTTTAAGATCCACATCTTTGCTTTGCCATAAATTAATCAAGCCTCGTATGTTTTGTCACACAAAGTTTGAGCGTTTTTTTTATGGAATGATTTTACTCAAATTGTTCTGTCTTCCTGTACTGCTGCATGCTGTTCAGCACACATAGGATATTGAAACCTTCTCTAGAAAATTATGTCATCATAGGTATTACAACTGACTCAGAGTCTAACAGCACGATCAACACAATGCTTGGCTTTGCCATCTGTTCTTAGGCAAGGAAATATGCTAAGCTGACATATCTATGGATTATCGTTGCCTCCTTTTCGTCCTTGGAGGAAGGAACACCTTCTTTGGAAGGGATTAACACCTTTGAAATGGTACCAGAGCCTCATGAGACCCCAGGTATCATAATTCAATTCTCTTCTGCTTTTCTCTTCTACACAATCCTCAAAATCTCCATCACTGACAGACTGGCATAGATATTGACTGCCTATGAATATGTATATAGAGGCATATTACTCCTGCACTAGCGCTTATATTTGTTACAAGAACACCCAAATACCAAGCATTTACAAGTGCTGCGTCAAGGCACCTGGAAAGTGAAACATCCGAGTACCCTCATGGGGACATAAGTTAGGAGGAAGCAACAGAAACTCTTCCTTGTATGCTCCATAGCTGGAAGTCAAGCACAAGGGAAGAAAATATACAAAGCAATACTCTGCGTGGACAGATACGGCACTGTACTGTGGTGTACAGACACTTTTCCCTTAAACATCCCACGTGAGTAAGTATTTTGCACGCTTTTTCCATTATGCTTCTATTATATTATCCTCCCACTTGGGGAAGGGTTTATATAACAAAAGAATATGCTCCCCATTTTGGAGAATATAACAGCGTTCTTTTGCAGTTTGAAAAGATGCAGACCACCAAAGCACAGGGAAGACAAACTTTGATCCAAGAGCTTTTATTATATGGTCTGCACAGAGTAACAGGGGCCATTCCTGAGAGCCTCTATACGCCACCACAGTATACGCATTAAATAACAGTGAGAACACTATCAGGCGGGTGGCTTCCTCCATGCGTGGCATCCATCCTATGGCTGTGATTCAATGGGAGCTGGCTACGTCATCAACCAACAGAAGTCCAACAACATCCACAAATGCAGAGCCTACCACCTCTCCAACACACACCCTTTATGGCACCCCAGCACCAGCTGATGCAAATCCCCAGCGCGCATCCAGTTTCACCAGCAGCACCGCACCAACCCAGCCTGCCAATGCCAGCTCAAACTGCACAAGCGCAGGCAGGTGAACAACCAAAGCTGCCCGAGCAGCCTCAGCATCCCACAATTCCCAGCCAACTGATGCAGCCCCGGCACCTGGGGAATCCCCACCTGCCCACATACCCCATGAACCCGCTTCCCCATCTGCTCCTGGACATTCCTCTGGAGCCATGGTAGTCCACCAACAAGAAAAAGCAAGAGGAAATAATAAGAGAGCATCCCTGCCCCGCAGCCATTACAGCTGGAGTGTGTTAGTTAAATCAATCTCTCTCTCTCTCTCTCTGTGCAGTCACACTCTTCTCAGGTTGGAATTGGATTTCATCAGTTTAGCTTCTGTCAGATTGGAGCAGAAGACGAAATTTTAAACAAATTTGTAATTAAACCAGGCAGATGACTGTCAGATCAGACCTCTTACTGCAGATCTATCATATCAATACAGCCTTGAGTATGTCCTGTCAAAGCTTCATGAAGTTACACGGAATTTCAGAAGAAGAAACACGTATTAACAAATTGTGCAATGCTGTACAAAGGGAGGACTATATACTTTGCAGGACCTTGCATCCTGCAGGAAAATATAAACATACATCATAGCCTTTGCAACAGACAGAGTTAATAACATACCCGTTTATATTTAAAAGAAATCAAGCATGCAATATAGTATGTGCTCACTATGTGATTCCGACGGCAGGATGATTATAACAGCTTCTTCTAACAGTGCAACAAGCTTCCGCAATTTTTAGCTCACTGATTTTCTCCCCATTTTATACTTAAAGCTCACTAATGCTTTTACTTGAGAAAAAGCCACAAATCTCATTCTTTCTGTATCTTAGAACTCATTTCTTATCACCACTGGAAAAAGGGAAAAAACACAAACCCCACCACCACTGCATGAGAGCTCTTTGTAAGGCTGGTTTTAATTTCATTCTTTTCCTTCTCTTTCAGGATTAAAGAGACCAGGAAATCAGAAAAAAGCTAAAGTATTTTAGGCATTTTCACTTGCTTTCAGAAATCAATCCATCTCCTGTAGTCAGCAGTGCGTGCCTCCATTAACCCTCCTTCTCAGTGAGCACTCTTAACTGGAAAAACAAAAGTGTGTAACTAGCAGAGAATAAAAATACTTAAAAAAAGAAACAAACCAAACCCCAAACAAACCGAAACAACAATGGTTTTTGTTGAGCTGGGGATTTAAAAGATGAGCTTGAGGTCTTACACTTCGTACTGAAAATATCACAGTGATCAAGCAGAGTAAACATGCTATCGTGAAAAATGTGGTTTGAAAAGTTACGATATACTAAATTACAAAGACTACTTATAACTCTAATCTGCAAAAAAGTACTTAAAATAGAGACATACCTAATACACACCATGAACTTGTACCGTGACTGAATTTGACTTTAGACAGTGAGAGCATGACAATGTCACAAAGTACCCTGCGCTTCCAGTAAAAACATCGAGAACTAAATCTCCATGGACTGTTTCTACTTTTTTAGGGTTTGTTTTTTTTTTTTACAAATGATCTGAGAACACAATGATCTGAGAACACAAGGCCATATCTTACTGCTTCCCTTACTAATAAGATAAGAAAGAATACATTTTTTTTTTCTGAGAGAACTGAGAACTTAATTAAAATATTTTATTAAAATCACTGGCTTCACTGACTCTTTGTCACAAAAGAGTCTAAACCATTTATATTCCTGTAAAAACGCACACTCACACAGGGAGTTATTAGCTATAATATCCATAATTAAATTTGACAGGCCATGAAAGTTACCTCTATTAAAGGCACAGTGCCAGATCACAGGCTGTACCAGCATCCTCAGCAGTCATACCTAGGGGAAAGGTAGGAGAGAGGTATTTGCTACCAACGCAGCGAGGACTGTCACTAAGCTGGCATGCTGGGGGAGGATTTACGCCAGGCTTGTCAGAAGTCACTTTCCCAAAGAGTCAGGAAAACAAAGAAAGAGGCTTCAGTTCTTTGAGACAAAAAAAAAAAAAAAAAAAAAAAAAAAAAAAAAAAAGAGAGAGGCAGCAGAGCTGGAACTGCAAAGCAGAGTGATTCAGCCACCAGCGGTGAGCACTGGCCGCTAAGAAATCCCCAAAATGGGTTCCAGCAGCGAGCGCAGGCTGAGCCTGGGCCAGGTACGCCAGGGTTGCGCTCCCTGGGCACCTGCGCCTCCGCCGCGCTACGCAGACGTCCCCCAAGACTGAGACTTGCAGAGGCTGTACTTCCAGTCCCTTAAAGATCTCTATGCTTTCATTTTGCTTCTTTCAACAGGAATAAAACCACCTAGAAGTGAGGAGGGTTCACCTGACCTAGCTGTCTCCATGACAAACTTGCTACAGAGGTGTTGCTGTCAGCAGCATCAACATGAGCTGCCCACACCACCTGGCTTTACGTCTTAGCATCAGGCTCTGGCCCTCTTCAGCATCACTGACAAATCCCCTGTCCAAGGCATAATTTTTTCTGTTCTCATCTCCTTCATGCATGATGCTAGACCTACTAAAGATTAGCTCTTATTAGCTTAATGGTCAAGGCAGCATCTCCTGAAGCCAAGGGAAAGTCAGAACTCTACTATCAAATCCACTTATCTTTTCATAAAAAATACTCTGTGTTTTTAGAATGCATGGACCAAAAAAAAAAAAAAACCACACTTTTTTTTTCTGTTTTAAAAACCAAAGAAATTTAAGAATAACAATAACCACCTAGAAAGAGAAAGAAAGGAAAAAAAAGCTTTAGTTGACTCCAAACAAACCAATTGTTTGCTTTTCTAATCAAAGCAAAACCCAACCTTTGCATTATGCTGCCCATACACTGACATTTTTCTCCTGCATATTGACAATGTCCTTCTGCATGGATGCTTGCACTAGAAAAGAGTAAATGGTATTGAACATTTCAAAGTAACCATATGGCAAGTGTTGTTGTTTAAAAAGAAAGGATTTTATCCCCTACAATGGACGTTTTGCAGAGCCCCATTATTAGATAACTCCTTACTATCTACTCCAGCCCTAGGAAGCTACACGCAGCTCATCTCAAAGTCCCACAGACAGGAAATGTGGAGAACTGGAAAGGAGCTATTGCAGCACTGGGGATCATGCACTTCAATTCATCTGTAATTCCACCACGTGGGACTGCCCCACCACCTAACGTGACAGAAACAGAGGAGTTTAAACTTCTATTCGCCTCCCTTGAATTGGTCCTGTGTCTGCTCCAGGATCTCAAAGAACAGCTTAGAGCAATGAATGTCTGTATGCAAAACGCAGGAGACGCCGTTCACGTGAGGAAAAATGCAGCAGCAATGTGGGAAACAAAAATCTCTTTTCCATAAGAGATTACTAAGGCTTCCTCTGTGCATTGTCCAAAGCCTTTGAGAGGTAGTCAAGCTACCTCAGATTGACTTCACCCGCTTACATGGCCCCACACAACGCTATGCTGAGTTGCCAGCTCAAGTCCTGCGTGAGCAGCAGCGATGCCAGCACGACACTTGGTCTCTTGCGGAGCAGAGCAGCCCTGGAGCAGCATGGTGCAGCCTTCCCTCTGCCGGGACGGAGCACACGGGGCTGCTCCAAGGGGCAACGAGTGGGGAAAGCCGACTTCACGGAGATTGAGTTCAGTTCCATGAAGTGCAGGAAATTGAGCAAAGCAGTGAAAAATAAAAGGTGGCAAAGATGGAGGAAGACAACTAGAAAAGGAAGGGAAAAGTATGGCCAAAAAAACCCCCCAAAAAACAAAAAAGAGTGGGACCAATAAGCAGTATTAGACAGACAAAACTTTGACTACTGGTTAAAAAGTTACTAACCTTTAAGCACAAGTAGAAGCAAGAACACTGGATCCAAGTGGAAAATGTTCAGCTTAATCTGTTCTTAAAGGTAATTTGCAAATTAAGATCAGGCTAATTGCCCTCATTTGCTTCCGAGAACCAAAGTGAGACTTTTAGAGAAATGAGAATCAGGAACTGGCATCAGAAAAAGGAAGCTATAGAACTAGTTCATTTGAATGATACTAGAAAAAAGACTGAGGCAACAGCCCTCAGCATGTAGGCCAGTGGACCTAAAGGGCAACCAATATCTTGCATATCAACATTTTGAGGAATCTCTATAGCTTCCTACCTGTTGGCTCACTAGGAGAAGCTTTCCAAGTGACAACTCAGAGCCACAGCCAACTGGGAAGCATGTTGGCACATTAACCATTTGCAAACACAAGAAATGCGTATCTCTGAACCCATGCTTCTGAAAACCTGTCCCCTAGGACGGAGATTTTGTAAGAGCAAATCAGCTATCAGTTAGATGCCCATATATTACCACCTTGCAATGACTTATAGCTGCCATTTATGATTTCAGAAAGGTCCCTTTTTATGATTACCCTGACAAAAGACATGAAGTGACGTCTTAAGAGAACGATAAGAACAATCTTTTTTCCTTCACATATAGTTGACTTCTACAGAAATGCAGCCCACTATTCCAATGCCACTTGTTCCAGAAGTCCTCACCCATGTGTTTACCATTTTAAAATTTTGAAAGCAGCATTTCCCAGTTCGCTAGCTCCTGCCTGACAATTATTCCCTCACTTCCTAACACATAACTAAAGAAAAACAAAAGATGAGATCAACTTACCATCGAGCAACATACTTCACATTCCTTTTTCAGATATAAAATTACACACCTGGATTTAAGTCCTATTCCCTCACCTCTCCCTTTGCTATACAGCCTTTCATAGAGGAAGAGACCACACAGGCATAAAGTATTTGCACGGAGCAGACAACTTGAGGAAATTAAGAAAATCACCTGCATCTTGCTGAGCTCCTTCTCCTTCCTACAGCTACTGACTTACTGCTGGAGAAAGAGGTAACCTCTATAAATGCACAACATATTTGGCACAGGGCGCTGCTGGAAATCAAGGCAGAGATAAGTGATGCCTGAAAAGACCTTATTTTCTTTAGCCACAGCCAATTGGCTTTTGCAGGAGACCCTTAACCGGAAAAAAAAAAAAAAAAAAATCCTGTAAGAGACTGAAACTGACAGACTGGGGAAGAAAACACAGAGGGGAGAGAATTACAGGAACAGAATTAGGGGAAGCCTCCAGCAGATTGCAGGGGGCATCACACTAGCAACCTGCAACCTGAGAGAAGATGGAGCAGTTTCCTAAGGTACGGAATCAAGGCAAGCTGACATAGTGCAAA